TTGAAGGGCAGAGGTTACTTACAAAAGTCCGAGGGTAGGGATTGGGAGCCATGTGCATTGCTTCTTGATAACGCCCCATGACCAGAGACGGATATTGAGCTTCAGGTCTGGTGAGCCGTAGACAGTCGTCGGATTTACAATTTCACACTTCACAACCATCGGCTTGTCCATGTGAACGGGGTACTGTTCTTTGGTGCCTCAAAATTTGCATTTCAGAGGCGAAAAATTCTGCCAGTGAATACGAAAATTCCATCAAATTGCTGGGAAATTGCTACTATACACGTTGCTTGTTTGCTACTAGATACTACAGACGTATGTACACTTAGGCAGGGAGAGACGGCTCGCAAATACGCAGCTATCGCAGGGACGCCCCTTTTCGCTCTTCGATATGGACAGTATATGGCGAAACACTGCAAATGATTGAAATAAACGGAGAAACATTTTGTGGAACAAATTTTCAAAAAAACAAACAATGGAAATTCTCCGAGTAAGCAAACATGCCGTTTGGTTTGCTTCTCAAAGACATACGATTTGGCATATAATGAACAGATCAGTCTTTTCAAATTTTTACTTTATTTGTTACAAACCTATAGTCGCTAAGTAACTCTCCAGAGGAGAAGAGAGCGAAAGCATGATTGAACACACCCTAAGGACCTTCTGGCAGTCTCGCACGAGTTCTCCGGATCTGCTCGTTGAAGGTAAGCGAAGCGATACCCTGCCACCTTCTCACTAATCTCTACATCTCGTCATCCACTGCTAATGCCACCCAACAAAGAAACAATGATTAAAAAACACGGTGTAAAAGCTGAACCTGTAAGGGAACTTGTAAGGGAAAATGACCGTTGAGATTTGGTGGGTGGGGCAACTAAGGAGGCGTCAGAACTCTCACTTGTGGAGGCCGCAGCGCCTTCGTTGCTTACTGTGAAGCTGCGAAAGTGGGGCAATCTTAGGCAGCGTTCAGACTTCGCGACGGCGACGCTTTGGCCGCGCGTTCGGGCGATCGATCGCGTCGCTAGTGGTAGCGGCCGGTTGTGTAGCGCGACTGATTCGATCGCGCTCCAATGCAAAAATCGGCTGGACGGATGCTAATTCACAGCCGTATTCACTTCTTTTTCTTCCTTCTCCTCCCGTTAGCTTTTCACTTGTTTTTTCATCTTCCTGCCACTCTTTTTAATCAGTTCCCAATGTGTGTCGGTTATTATGCTTTTTTACCTTTAACACATTAAATTTTTCAGATACATTGGAATTTTCCGGATGGACGGCCGTGTTCAGCGCGCGCACTTTCCAATTTTTGAGGTGGGTTTTCAGGTTCCCTGCAGTTTTGGTTGATTCTCATCAATCATATTGTGTTTAGTTTGGTCGGCAATTCAGCAGTTCAGCAAAAAATAAGGATGAAAAGATAACCAAAACTACAGGAAACCTGAAAAACCCACCTCAAAAACAGGAAAAGTGCGCGCGCTGAACACGGCCGTCCATCCGAAAAATTTCAATGTACCTGGAAAATTTCAATGTGTTAAAGGTAAATAAGCATAATAACCGAAAAACATTAGAACAGATAAAAAAAGAGTGGCAGGAAGATGAAAAAACAAGCGAAAAGCTAACGGGAGGAGAAAGAAGGAAAAAGTAAGTGAATACGGCTGTGAATTAGCATCCGTCCAGCCGATTTTTGCATTGGAGCGCGATCGAATCAGTCGCGCTACACAACCGGCCGCTACCACTAGCGACGCGATCGATCGCCCGAACGCGCGGCCGGAGCGCCGCCGTCGCGAAGTCTGAACGCTGCCTTAGAGACTGAGGACCAAATACTTGTACAATGAAGGTCGCCTACGAACAGGTTGAGCGCGGGGACTGTCTTAGAGAGATCAACAGCAAGATTCACCTGTTTCGTCATAAAGCTTGGCGTCACGGTAAATCATTGGGCCATCGTTACATTGCCACCATCGAAATGCAGTGTCAGTACCATTGGGCCAAGGGTCACATATTGCGTCTGCGGAGGTAACGACCGCTACCAACGCGAAAACAAACACACGCATTCTGAAACAACAAAAGAATTTCCTCTAATGAGCATCACTACTACTTGCACTGCATCACTACTTGGGAACATACTAACATTTGGCTTTCTTTTGTTTACGGCACAACTCTATAGGAAAATTTTTCATAAGGAGGTCTTACGATAGGTGCGAAAGACTGAAGGGCTCATTAATACAGTCGTCATCCGGGCACTTGATTAGGCGGCCAAAGGGTCGCGACGCGGCTGCGGCGCGTCACGACCGCGGCGATCAGCTGTTTCCAGCCTTAGCCATTTTCTCCCTAATTTTCACTGTTTTTGGCTGCTTTTCTTGAGGTTAGTTGTTCCTTGTCTTCACAAGGTAAATTATGATTGAGATTTCTCTAGATTTGCGAACAATGAAACAATTGAGCAAACAGTTGAACAAATACCTTTTAAAATCGCAAAAACACTTCATTACAAAAACAAAAAAGAATCCACGTCCTAATACACTTCATAAAGACAATAACACAACTTACCTTGAAAAAAAATAGAAAATACAGTGAAAATTAGGGAGAAAATGGCTAAACCAGGCTGGAAACAGCTGATCGCCGCGGTCGTGACGCGCCGCAGCCGCGTCGCGACCCTTTGGCCGCCTAATCAACTGCCCGGATGACGACTGTAGGTCCAGCAGATGTCGAAGAATAAATAGCAACATCCTGGGAAGTGTATCCCCATGACTGCAAGAGGAAAAGTGGGGAGAGAAATAAACACAACACCCTGAATAACAAGGTCAAAATGAAGACAGTATTATTAAGAGGTGATAAGGGAACGTCCAAGTGCCATTGAACATTTTCTGTATTCACAACGTTGGGTCGAATTCTTATCGCTAACATGAGTTTAGCGTCCATGACTGTTGAATGCATCATCGCACAGATAATAAGTTCAAGCTGACTACTCGCTAGTGCGTTCGGTTTTCAAACGACACCCTTTTCGCTCAACGGCTCAGAGAGTAGGCTCATTAAAACTGGGTTTTCCATGAATCCATATCACAGTTGTCCCAGAATAAAAAGTTTCCTCTCCAGAAGCGCAGCCATCAGCGAGCGTTCAGAAATGGAGTTGGACACCCACCTCCTCAGCTCCGAAATAAGTCATGTTCTTCAGCCCTGGTCCCTTTGTGAATGGGATTTCAGGTGGCACTTGCTGATTTGAAGTTGCGCCGTTTATCTCTTCATGTACAGCAGATTTTCTTCATGTTTTACATTTGCGTGTGTGGTTATTTGTCCAATGTCTTATTAACAACTAGTGTGGAGGTCCTCTCTCTGACTGCGATAGGTGCACACTTTTGGGTGCAGCGGATAACGGTTTCGCGCAACAACTAGGCAGGATTAAGAAAAATCATCTACGTGCCAGAAAGTACGGAGAAAATTGATACTAAAGGCGTGTGACGGAACTGCCAACTCGGTTTGAATGCAGCAAAAAGTACGCTCGAAATCCCTGAGATGCCATAGGCGTGGCTGAATACAGGCGTCATCGGGGCAGTTGATCATGCGCGCCAAAGGCCCCCTCGCAACGCGACTTGCGGGCGCGTCACGACGCATGAACTGTTTCCGGCCTAGTTTAGCCAGTTTTCTACTAATTTTCAGCTGGTTTTTCCTGGCTGCTTTTTCTAAGCGGTTGGTTGTTCCTTGCTATCACAAAGTAAGAATCAATGTGATGGGATTTCTCTAATTCTTGGGCCAACATTGAGAATTGAAACAAAACGACCAAAATAAGCACCTTAGAAAATCGCAAAAACTTTTAATTACAGAGAACAAGAAAAGAAAATCCACGTCTTGGATTTACTTCACAAAGAAAAAAACATAACTGCCTTGAAAAGAAATAAATAATCACAAGTGAAACAATAAGGAGAAAATAGAAGCAACTGATCTCGCGCGTTGCGACGCGCGCCTGACGACTCTGACCGCCTAATCAACTGCCCGGATGGCGACTGTACTTGGACTGAACATGCCGGCAGAGAAATTTGCTCCTGGGACAATTGCAACAGCGTCTTTGTCCAAGCCAGATTGCTTTGACAGTTGTCTCAAATTATAATATCTCACAAGTAACCCATCCGTAGCCCATCCTATTCCATGTTCAAAGTCATTCCCCGCCTAGTCCGTCTCATGGATAAGGAGTGTATGGGGAAGAAATCGCCCATAGCAAATATATCAGAGAATAGCAAATAGCTCCTCGCGCAGTGTGTCTAAAACGTTGACGACTTGTACATGGGCTCATTTGCATTCATTTCTGATATTTGTTAACGGTTAGCATTTCAGATGTACTTCGCATAAGACAGGCTGCGATAAAAATTAAGCATCAATGGCGAAATATTCATTGAGAATCGTTGCAGAATGTCCAAACTTCCAGTTTGTCGTTTGGCGAATACATGGTAGTGGCCGCGCACACACTGGCAATCTTTTTCTACTCCAGCTTACTATTAACGTCATCTGCCCCTCAGGAGTGTGGAAGATTTTTATTTAGTATGAAACGAGGAGAAAACAGGGAAAAGCTAATATTCTGGGCTTTGAGCTGAGTCGATCCCTCTTTCATCAATGACTCGCTCCCAGTGAGCCGAAAGCGCTTGGATCCCTTGTGCCTTCGTTTTTTCAACAAGTGCGAGTGCTGTTGATGCCAATTTCGGCGAATGATAAAACGTTGCAGCGTTTGCCGTCGGAGGAGTACCCTCGACTGACGAGTGACAAGTTGACATCGAACGGCTGTTTAATGTTGGGCGAATGGAGCCCGATTGAACCGCAGGTCTCAATTATTGTTTGGTGTCATAGCACTGCCCCTATAATAGCGTTACTAAGGGTCTTCGACTTCTGACAAGGGTGCGTGGCGCCTTCTTGTAGTTGTGTAGTAGACGCATCCATTTTTGTCGACCTGTTTGTCGAGGAACCAGCGCAATATGGATCGACATAGGCGGGTGTTCCCTGTATAGTGCCGCTTGAAGGCCACAGTGCAGAAAGCCTTCGCTATGATGATCATCCACTTGGGCTCATGTAACTCCTCATAGCAGAATTCGAGCGGCTTCTCATCTGCATTCGTACAAAACTGACGCTTGTAAGTTCTCTATCCATATAACTGAAGACCATTATTTAACTTGATTTACACTCAATGGTGCGCCGCAAGTTATGGGAAAGTGAAACCAACACAGTTAGTGCATAATACAGCCAGATATATACTGATAAAAAAGAATAAAAGGAAAACTGGAAACAACACAATAACATTTGAATGAGCAAAAAAGGTCAATGCGGATTTCCAAAGGAAATCTACGGTATGGCAATATAGGCTGTGTTTCAAAGCGGCAATCAGAAAAATCACCGGACTTCCCTGTAGTGTAAGGCTGTTTTCCCCTTCAGGCAGATGAAAGAGTCCCCCGCGAGATCCTGGTCCTTGGTTCTGAACGCAAGGATTGACGAACAGTACTGGGGCTTGCTGACAACTTAACCCGTTACGAACGAATTCGTCCGGGACCCCAGGCGAACAAACCAAGGGGGACCTCAAGCGAGGGTCATCACCACCCCTGCAATCAAACAAACTGAGATAACTACAGTTCAACTCCCGTGACCGTTCCACAAAAGGCATACTTCAATTACAGCCGTGTACGCCCTTAGGGCTACAAGCCTCCCTATTACCAAACGGTTATTAGCAAGATAAGTGGGCCTTAAGACATATTGCTGAAGGTTAACGGTGACCTGATCACAATCATGGAATAGCAAATAATAGACGGGAGTATTCAGTCACTGCCTGAATACAAAGTTTGTCCAGCTAACGCAACAGTTTCTTAACATCTTGCAAGATAGACCACCGGTTTTGAACGAACCAACCACGCACTAGAAGACATTGACCAGACACCCAGCGTTGAGACTGAAACACGAGAAAGAAAGCGAGGTTAAACTACGTCAGGTATTCTCAAGATGCGCAAGAGGTCAAGCTCACTTAGCCTACTCTTAAACGACTTACTATTATATTGCTTGAAAAAACGTAAGGCGGTAGCAGCTCGAACCATCTTGCGCAACGATTAAACACTATATTGAACATTAATGAATAGTTCTTTGGGTAGATGTGGTCATAGTGAAGATTCAACCCACCCAGCCTTTCAGTGGTTGGACTGAAGCTCCAGTACTTACTAGCCCTTAGCTTGACCTCCTTCCGAATAATACGGAAGCAAAACACCAAATCAGATAAAATCCGTCTATACTGCAACGTATGCAAGGAAAACGCCCTCAGTCGAACCCTGTAGGGAGGGATATCGTACCGACCAGTACAGTTTGTGGACCTAAACCAAAGTAGACGAGTGAATACATGTTGGACTTTCTCAATCTTCAATACGTCTTTCCTCAAAGATGGGCTCCATACTTGTGAGCAATACTCAAGGTGTGGTCGGACATACGCTTTGTAAAGCCGCAACAGGGTAGTCGGGTCTGAACTTCGAATATTTCTCATTATAACAAACAGAGCAGAGTACGCTTTTTGATAATGCAATCAATATGATTGGAGAATTATTTAAATTCCGAATCGAAAAAAATGACTGCCAAGGTCTTTCTCAAGTCACAGGTGGGGAGAAGTGTTAATACTATTTACCACATGAATCGACTGTAAACGGTTCATCTTTCAAACATCATAACCAAGCGTTTTCTCAGGTCAGTAGGATATACCCCAGGATGTTGACCACTCACACATTCGTTCAACTGACAGCTTAAGCGCGTGGTACATGACATCCCTACCTTCAGTTTCATATGCGCAATATACCTTGATGTCATCCGCGTAAATCTGTACTCGGATGTCGGGACATGTTTTCAGAAGTTGAGGCAACTCCACGGTATATATCAGAAATAGTAAAGGGGATAACACTCCACCTTGAGGAACCCCACTGGTGCAGGGATACCTGCTCGAAAAACTGGTCCCTACCCGAACTGTCATACTCCTCTCCTGTAGGTAACACCTTAAACCTAGTTCAAAAGCAGCCGGACCACGACACAACCGTAGAATTCGAGTTTGTGAACAAGTTTTAGGTGACAGACCTTGTCAAACGCCTTGGTCAAATCGAGGTGGATTACATCCTACCGATTTTCCATGGTTGATAGATTTACAAATGTCGTACATCGTGTCAAGAAGGTTTGTACATGTCGAAAACTCAGGAAGAACAACCAGAATGATTCGGCAGGATGAAGGTTGGGCACGATGAACCCATGCCAGCAGTTTGACGAAAAATCATCTTCCCCCATCACGAGGTGTGGAAGTGAGGCTGATGGGCCTATGGTCGCTAACTGCTGTAGCTTCGGGATGTTTGGGGATAGCCGTTATGATGGATTCTTTCCAAATTTTTGGAACCTGACCTAAAAGGAAAGAGATGTTGAACATGTGGGCCTAAGGGTTTGCAAAGAGAACCACAGCAGTTCCTGAAAATTATTTGTGGAATACCATCAAAAGGCTCACTGAGGGAAGGCTTAAGTTTTTTCAGAACTGTATAGACATCTCTGGGGTGGAAATAAATATGCTAAAGTCCGCGTTTGAGACAGTAGCCGGCGCCGTACTCACAGACTTCCTGTGAGAAGAAACTGTGGGCTGGAGAAACACTGGCGAAATATTTACCAAGTGCTTGAGCCTTTCGAAGGTTCGCTGAAAAGTGTGGAACCACATAGGTCCTTCAGTGTGGGAAGGGGTGTCTTGGATTTGAACTTGCAGCGAACGTACTGATGCAAACGCTTTAAGGAAGCTTGGTTACCGAGAGATGGGTTGTCAAGATTTGGATACGTAACTTCTTTAAGCACATCCTACCAACTTTCCTGTATAGAAGGCAATTCAAGGAAATATAGGATCCGAAATATAAGCGTTCTTTCTGACAAGGCAGCAATATTCCTGTATGTGGCAACTGGTACTTGATGTTGCGACGCTGAGGAAACTTTCAGTGGAACGAATAAGGCCAACGCCTTGTAGATGGTTTTGCAGAATCTCCAGTAAATGTCGTCCATGGAAACGTAGTTGTTGAATAGACCAAGCCAATCAACATTCGAAAGATACTCATTTAGGCGGTCATAGTTCACTTTTAGAAAATCAGGAGTAGGGAGGAGTGCAGCATCACTGAACCCCTCCAGTAACTCGAAGCGAACGGAGGCATGGTCGGAATTTGCAAGAGGAGGAAGAAGTGACACGGTTTTGGCATGCTGCGCGAAGTGGACAATACCAAGTCCAACGGGTTGTTGGCTGCCATGCGGTGCGGTTGGAGTGACCGTGGTTTGTTCAAGACCACTTTCTTGGAAGAAATCAGAAAGGGAGCTGAGGTAGCGTTATCTGCCACGTAGGTTTTTCCAGTCAACCTGTAGATTTAAATCGCCCATAGAGTGACCCTTAGCGGAAACCATCTAACTAAGAACATCAACAAGACCATCGACTTCACGCCTTGTAGAGTTCGGGGTACGATACACTACAGAACCGGAAACAAGTGGCCTTAGGAGGACTGAAAATTCTCGCAGACGTCGGCTTCTGTTTGGGTTGACTTGTTCAAAAAAGCGTAAACGAAAAGGTTGCACCTAACCAGGCAACATACTCCGCCACCTCGACGCTTCCTTTCGATCTTGGTGGAATAGTAAATACGGCAAATTAAACAATATTTCGGAATCGAGGATATTGTCCGTAAGCCATGTCTCTGTAAAAAACAGTAGATCAGCTCATACTGCGAAATGTAGGCACGTAAATGTTCTAAATTATTCGGCAAACTACGAGCATTAAGTAAACAGCAAGTCAGGGCAGAACCACCATGCGCACTCAAGCGTTTCCCGAGCGTTTATGCTGCAGTTCCGAAGTATGTTTCAGTTGTCCTTGGTGGACTACCCATTCCCGGCTCGCTTTGCCCTTGTTTTTCGTTCGGCATTGCCTTAAATATTAGGTTGGCTAATAAGTAATGGCCGTTTTTTTCAATTGAAAAATTTGTTCGAAAAGTGAAACGTTTTGCAAGCAAGTTATATATCATCTGATAGGAAACTTCTCGTAGTATAAGAATATCAAAAAAGCTTTGGTTGAGGATATAGTTTTTGTGAATTTTTTAGTCGTTGAAGTTGGAAGTGAAGTCGGCGAAAATTAGCATCTTCGACAACTGCCTCTATTTACGTCTACTCGAAGTGCTAAAATCGCTTAAGCTGCTCCATACATTCGGAAAAGGTTGAGGTAGAAGTCTCAGCAAGGGAATCTCAATAGGACGCTTTGGAACTAATTTCAAGAATTTCAAAGTTGGCAACCTTCACCTTGCCGATATTGGGCAGCTCACGTCTGTTCCACCTGAAATTTCATGCTAATAGTTGAATTAATTGAATTTGAATTTGATATTATTCTAATACTACGAGAAGTTTGCTATTAAACGATATTAAGCTTGCTTGCAAAACTTTTCACTTTTGGAAACAAATTTTTCAATTGAAAAAAACGGCCATTACTTATTAGCCAGCCCACTGCTAGTGGGCACTGCTAGTGGGCTGGCTAATAAGTAATGGCCGTTTTTTCAATTGAAAAATTTGTTTCAAAAGTGAAAAGTTTTGCAAGCAAGCTTAATATCGTTTAATAGCAAACTTCTCGTAGTATTAGAATATCAAATTCAAATTCAATTAATTCAACTATTAGCATGAAATTTCTAAATAGAGGCAGTTGTCGAAGATGCTAATTCACTTCCAACTTCAACGACTAAAAAATTCACAAAAACTATATCCTCAACCAAAGCTTTTTTGATATTCTTATACTACGAGAAGTTTCCTATCAGATGATATATAACTTGCTTGCAAAATTCACTTTTCGAACAAATTTTTCAATTGAAAAAAACGGCCATTACTTATTAGCCAACCTAATATATATAGGTGTCCGGAAAGTTCTTAGCGTTTTGGGTGTTTAACTTTAAACGATCATAACTTTCTTAACACTCATCGGATTTAATCCAAATAAGCACCATTCGAATCAGCACACTTTTGCCAATGTGGCAGCAGTCGAGAAATCCCATCAAAGAAAAACTGGGTGGTCGAGAATCCACGAAATCTGCGAAGGTCTTTTTTGCCTGGTCCTGTTTGATGAAGTATTTCTCAGCAGGAAAGTTCTGAAAATGTCTGAAAAGGTGACAGTCGGTTGGTGAAAGGTCTAGAGAATATGGTGGGTGAGGTAGAACTTCAACTCCCAATTCGTTCAATTTATGGATAGTGATTTGTGAAACGTGTGGGCGGGCGTTGTCATGCAAAAGAATCGGACCCTTTCTTTTGATAAGTGTTGGCTGCAGCTGACAATATTTTCGGTACATTTGGTCGGTTTGTTCACAGTAGGGTTCTGCTGTGATGGTTTGGCCTGGTGATGAAAAGTTATAGTGGATTACAACAGCCGATGACCACCAAACCTGACCAGAATTTTTTTTTCGCGAGGGTTCGGCTTTGAAAATTACCTCGGTGGTTCCTCCAAATCCAACCACTGTCCGGAACGTCTCCTGTTATCATACATGATCCATTTTTCATCACAGGTGACAAATCCGTTCAAAAACGGGTCAATTCTTTTGCGCAAAAGCAGTGAAGAAGGAACCTCGAGACGTGCCGATTCCTGCCGGTCACTCCGATTGTGGGGCACCCAATTGTCGAGTTTTTTCACCTTCCCAATGCGTTCCAGACCATCTGCAACAGTGGATTTGCAAACGCCTAGCTCTTCTGCTATCTCTCGAACTGTTTGGGATAGATCAGCCTCCGAAATCCCCTCAAAATCCTCGTCAGAATTGCTTTAGGTCGATCGCTATGAGGTTCACCTTCAAGGCTGAAATTTCCAGAACGACATTTGTTGAGCCATTTCTGCGGCACAGTGCTTTCTCTAGCACTATTGGGCCTCCACACCTGGTTAATTTGTTGAGCTGTTTCGATTGCGGATTGCCCCAATTTATAGCCGAAGAAAAAAATCGTCCGAAGTGCTCTTTTCACATGCTTGAAAAAATCTTGAAAAAGAGGGTTTATCAAGCAATGGTGAAACGGCAATTATACCATCAGATAGCGCAAGAAATTCTCTACAGGATGTGCTACTGAGAAGCAAGGCAGAATGAGTTTTTAATCAGCAGTGAATGTACAAAGATTAGGTGCACAAAACGCTAAGAACTTTCCGGACAACCTAATATTAGGCATTGCCAGGCGTTGCGGAGAAGGCGCGCGTTCGCAAGAGCACGACGCCAGTGGAATTTTGAGGGCAGAAGTACCTTGACCAGCCGTGGACGACCCGCATCTGGCTTGCCCATGCGGTAGATTTCCGAAGGACGACATTCCACGCTCAGAGCATCGAGCACCTTGCTTACCTTATCCTCGAGATC